ACAAACTATAAAGCACTTGCCTACGTACTATAAAGTGGTAGTTTGAACCCACTCAGAGACATTCTGAAAGAAAGGCCTAGAGATACTTTCTGCAAAGGCACAGCCTTTGAAAACACGTTCAAGCCCAATTCTATTCTGCACGCATGAGGCCTCAATGAACTAAAATCGACACAAGGGCCACTGGTTTGGCTCTTGTTTGGCTGGTGGGCCTCTAGGGACTAAAAAAAAGAAATGGTTCTAGATGATCAAATGTCTGCCCATAAAGCCTGGGGGAGTGGTGGTAATTTTTTTTCATAATGCCAACACGCATAACCATTCTGGAATATTCAGATTTAAAGGATAATGTCCAGCTAAAGGTATTACATTTTCAAGTGCATATTGTTAGTTGCTTTCAGGTGTCATGGAGTCAGTTCCAACTCAAAGTGATCCCATGTGCACTAGAGCGACACTGTCCAAGCTTGTGTCATCCTCTCAACTGGTCTTATGTTTGAGCACATCAATCCAGCTACTGTGTCCCTCCATCTTTGTGAAGCGCTTCCTTTTTTTTCCTGCCCCACTACTTTACTAAGTTTATATAAAATCAACCGCACTGCCATTCAAGTGGATTCTGACTCATTAGTGACACTATCAGGGAGGGTAGAATTGCCCCTGTGGGCTTCTGAGGTCACAACTCTTTACAGGACTAGAAAGCCTGGTGGTTTTGAACTGCTGACTTTGCAATTATTAGCCCAAGTCAGAACCACTATGCACCAGGGAACTGGACTGCTAATACAACAGCTCAGCCCCATCAGCTACTCTGCGGGAGAAAGACGAGGCTATCCGATCCAGTAAAGAGATACTGTCTTTAAAACCCTGTATACGGTTGTTACAAATCAGACTTGACTTGATAGAGGTGGGTTTTATTTTTATTTCTTTATATGAGTCACCAGACAGGGTAAGATACATTTTCCCAAAACCTCACTGCTGTAGAGTTGAGTCTAACTCATAGGGATCCCGTCGAACAGAGTAAAACGGTGTCTTTGGGTTGCTGAGGCTAAAACTCTTTATAGGAATAGAAAGCTTCATCTTTCTCCTATGGAGCAACTAGTGGATTTGAACTGCTGGCTTTATGGTTAGCAACCCACCACATAACTCACTAGAAGTAGTATAATGGACCATTATTTTTACTTTAGTCCAATTACTTGTCAAAAATTCATCTTACCATGTGGAAAGACATGCCAAACGTTACCACTGTGTTCAAAGATAATTTCTTTCTTATATATCTTATGAAATTGAAAGAATTTAAATGGAGCAGATTTATAATAGTCATATTATCTCATAATTTTTATAGCATAATGAATATGGTATCATTTTGAGTTTCACCCAAATATCAAGTTATAAGAGAATAATTCAGCATGTAAAATGGGTTCAACCAAAGAAATTAATAAAAATATAAGCAATAAATTCTGAAAGTTCATTTTAGGTACCGAACGAGATTCTTCCTCCATCCTTCATTAGCAGCATCCAGGTACACAGAGTCACATCTTCAACCACAAATGTCACAGGCCTCCTTAAACAGCATCCTATAATTTGGAACCTTATGATTTTCATATGGATTTTTTATTCACTCATATTCATCCATTCATTCTTTAAATAAGTATGTATTGAATACATACTGTTGCTGCTGTCGCATATCTTGAGGCATTTCCAACTCATGCTTTTCTTGTTGTTAGTTCCCGTCAAGTGGATTCCAACCCATAGTGACACCACGACGCACAACAGAACAAGACACGGCCTATCCTGTGCCATCCTCACAGTGGTGCCTATGCTGGAGCCCATTGCTGAAGTCACGATGTCAATACTTCTCTTTGAGGACCGTCTTCTCTCTCAGTGCCTCTACTTTACTACACATCATGTCTTTCTCCAGGGAACGGTCTTTCTTGACAACCTGTCCTAACCACGTCAAATGAAGTCTTTCCATCCTGGCCTCCAAGGGTCACTGTGGCCATACTCTGTCCAAGGCAGATCTGTTTGTCCTTTTAGCGGTTCATGGTACTTTTAATATTCTTCTCCAGAAGAGCAATTTAAATGCATTGATTCTTCTTGAGTCTTCTGTATTCGATATCCAACTTTCACATGCCTATGAAAAAAAACATGACTTGGGTCAGACGCACCTTAATCCTCAAAGTAACATCCTTGCTTTTTAATACTCTAAAGAGGTCTTGGGCAGCAGATTTAGCCAGTGCCACTCGTCTTTTGATCTCTTGACTGCTGCTTCTAGGAGCTTATAACTCAGAGTGGAATGGAACCTTGCCTCATCTTGGGCCATCTTCTCAGTAGCAGGTATATTTGAACCCATTGATGCAGCCTCAGTGTCAATCCATCTTGTCTGGGATCTTCCTCGACTCTTTACCAAATATGATGCCCAGTTCTTAGGTAAAATATTAGAAACACAGACAAGACAGATCAGACAATGTCCTGACCTCCAAGTAGCTTACATTCTAGCCAAGAAAGTAGATTAGAGGATTGTATAATACCAGGTATTGAAAAATGTTCTAGAGAAAGATAAAGGTGGGTAGAGTATTTAGTTTAGTTGTGATGGGAAGCACACTGGATTGCTGACTGAATTAAAGGAGTAAGAAATAGATGAAGATTGTTAGAGCAAAAATCTTCTGAAGAGAATTCAAATTTGCTGTACAGGAAACATGGAACAACAGAGAGGTTACTTTTTGAGTGGGCTGTGACTAACAGGGTGGGGATTGTGGGTAAGTTGGTCTAGGGTTCAACTATGTACAAGCCTTTTCAATTGTGATAAGAGCCTAGAATTTAATGGTAATTTGGATAGAAATTCATTGAGGGCTGGAATGGAAAATTAAAAATCTAAGTGTGGAAAAATGAGTGGAAGCAAAATGACCACTCAGAACCAACACATACCTGTTTGTGTCATCAATGTTTTCACTAATCCACTCTGGATGATCATTCCAAGCCTACCTAAGTGGATCAATTTCACCAAGACTTTACTCTGAAAATAGAATCTTTTTGTTCTAGAAACCAATATTAATAGTAAAATAATTTTTAGGCACAAAGATTGTTAACCAGAGTAATAGTTTGATCTATATCCACCCTCACCCCCAACTAAGTTGCCATTTATAGATATTCTGCATTCACTTGGCATTAACGTTACTAACTTATCTGGATATTTAATAACATAGCATTATAGTTTTTCTTTTCTCTCTTATTTTTTTTAAGTTTTTTTCTTTAATAAAAATTACACTTGAGAAACATCCTTCGTGGTAAAGTGGAGGGTCTGAAGAAGAGGAAGACCATGAGTGAGACAGATTGACACAGTGGCTGCAACAACAGGCTTCAGTTCAGGAACAATTGTGAGGACAGCACAGGACCAGGCAGTGTTTCGTTCACCACATAAGGTGGTGATGGGTCCAAACAGACTTTGTGGTAGTTACATCATCGGGTGTCAATTTGGCACTTGAGAGGATTACGATAGAAGGGATGGAGTCTAGTCTGTCAATCGGGTCATAGCCAGTGAGGCCTCTGTGTGGGTATGGCCTTCTCCTGAGGATTCTGGGAATTCCTGGACTTCCTCCTTGAAGCTAGGAGAGACTCTCTCTCTCTCTCGGCTCGCTTCTTGGAGATTCTCTACTGACAAGGCTGACTCCCTGAGAGACATTCATGAGGAGAATCCACATGGACCTACCCGAATGCAGCCAGAACCCTGGACCTGGAGAAGCCACATAGACACCCCTGTCAGTGCTGAGATACGTATAATGCCACTGGATCCACAAGACTTCCCACCCTCTGGCCTGTGATCTTCCTGCATTCAGCATCATTGCATGTGTCTCGTGAGTCTGAAGAGGACTTTATATATTGGTATTGGACATATGGGCCAATATCAAACTTATGGGCTTGGACTGGACTGGGTTGAGATGCTTTCTTCATGTATAATTACTCCTTATATAAAACTCTCTCTTATACACACACACACACACACAAAAATTACATTTGAGATGTCTGGAGCTTCTGAGGTACCTGAAAAACAACAACAACAACCAAAAATCTATTGTGTGTGTATACATGTCGGGGATGTGATTGGTGAGGTGAAATCAAGGAAGTATAAAGACCCTTACAGCTTAACAAGAAAATGAAGCACATGATGGCAGGTAAACACTTGTAGAATACAGTGAGGAAGTTCCAGACCACAAGTTTCTATTTCCTGCATTAAAGAAACTACTTGATACCTAATCTTTCTAAACCGGTAGAATAAAAGAACTAGTCCCCAGGGACTAGTGAAGTGAATCCACACTTCTGAAAGTCCATCATTGCTTCCTAAGTAAAACTTAAGAGATCAACAGAGATCTACGAGGATAGAGAGCTTATCATCCTGCTTCAGCAATAAAACCTATGGCCCAGACAGTGTGGGGCACATAGAGTGTGCTGAATAGATACCAGCTATTAAGTGATGACTGGGACTTCAGGGATGTAGCACCTCCTCATTGCCCGGACTGCATTGACCTCAAAAATACAAATCTTGAAGCCAGTGGACAAAGCAATACTTAGTATGATAAATGCAGACTTGAATTTATACACTAAGGACAGAATCTGACTTAAATTTCTATCTTTTCCTTATCTTTGTTAGAGTACATTGCCTCTTGAACTATTTGCTTTTGCTACATATTTAAAGACAGAGAGCTCAGTTCTTGGGAAAATCCCATGTGCCCCTTCATGCTACACCTGCAATTGTGAGAAAGCACATTTCAGACAGTAGGGAAAACCCGTCTCTCACCACAGCAACACATTGTAAATGGTCTGGGTCACTGAGGCATAAATTAAAGAGAACTGGTGTCACTGGGGAGGTAGGAGGGAAGAGGAAAGGGGTGGAGACAACACAGGGGCGTATAAATGCCGAGGCGCCACAAGAGACACAGACCGAAAACGAGCCCCAGCAAAGACTTTCCACCGCAGACTGACTTAACCCAAGATTAACCAGGGAGCGTGGAGCAAACTGAAGATGATTCCAGAAGATTCTTCCATGACAGAAAACAGTTCCTTGCACCCAGAGAAAGGACAACAAAGTAAGTCAGATCCGATCTCTTATATATTGACGATATGTGTAATATGAGGCGGCTTCCAAAGTATCTCAGAATATTCCATTACCTTTTGAATTCCATTTTTTCATGAACCTTTTGATGCTGTTTTGTACATACTGGTACTTACAGGAAAGCAGAATCTTGTCTTTTTGGAGAACTTGGGTTCTATTTCAATGCAAATATAAAGGAAAATAGGGAGAAGTAAAAACTTTCACTATGAGAAGGTAGGGTAGTTAGGAGTTGAGAGGTACCTGCAATCATGAATTTTAGATCTTTAAAGATCTTTTACTTTGTTTCCATCTATATCATCTTAATTTTTTTAGAAAACGTAAATGCTCTCTACTCCCCTCCTCTCTCCATTAGTTTGCCATAATCAGCTGCACACGAGCCAGGGAGCATCCCTGAACAATTCTGTTGACCACATGAACAAATACATCTTCGACTGCATACCCTGTATCATTTGTCTACTTTCTGCATGCCTCAACTCATGTGCTTACAACCGTGTCCTGCCACTGTTAGAACTGTGCAGGCTTCCAACATTTGAGAGAATAACTATAGGGATAGCTTTGTACCGACGGCTCCCAGGGGTAATGCCATGAAAAAATGCTTGAAACTGAAATCCTCTGCGTCAGGAGTCTCTATGGGTCTCTTCCTCTTCATGCCAGCCTCTATTTCTTCCTCATAAACACAGGCTTCAAATTCGACATGAGTCTGACAGGGCTATCATGTCCTTCATTTTTAATTAAAACGTTATCATCTTAGCGATCTACACTTTCCTGTCTTCCAGCCATTGACTCTCTCCCACCTATCTATTATATTTCCAATCCTAGAATGTTTTCTATTGCTTCTTTTGCCTTTCTCCTGTGACATGTCCCTCGTGGTTTTTTATCCTTTTCCCTCCCTAATACAGGAGGTGCCCAAAGCAATAACATTAAGAACTAGAGTTTACTTGTAAGCAACTGATATCTAGAAGAAAAGGAGTGTTGGGGGGGGGGGTGATGGACATAGAACAATCTAGAAGAAAGGATTGTTTTTTGAGAGTGTGTCTATGAGACTGATTCACATGTAGCACACTATCAGTCTTCTCTACTAAAGTTGTCTTTGGCCTACAGACACAAATTCAAATTTGGAACGAGGGTAAAGCATTAGCTCTTTTAGGGAATCAGGTGAACCATAATGTATAGCTTAGCTGAGCTTCCAAAAAGGAAAAAAAATGATAACAATGAAACAATCTGATAACGACAGAGAGAACTGAAGTTGAAAGAAGTGCCTAATATTTTCCTGAAGCTATCCAAAATTTTTGTTCAATTATTAGTTACACCAGCCTTGTAGTTGCTTTCTTAGTATAAATATTTTAACACCATCCTTGAGTGAGTCCATAAAAAATAGTGATTTGTTTTCAACTGCATTCATGAACGAGCCTGGTGAGAGACCTAGAGGAAGCTTACTGTTGGGGCAGTGTTTAGTCACCCAGGTGACAAAGCAAAGGGTTGCTAACAGAAAGGCCAAACCAAACCATTTACTGCCAAATCAGTGTGACTCCTAGCTACCCGATGTGTTTCGGAGTACAACAGTGCTCCTCAGGATTCTCAAAGGCTGGGGTTCTTTTTTTAAAAAGATCATTTTGGGGGGCTCTTACAGCTCTTATAACAATCCATCCATCCTTTGTATCAAGCATGTTGTTGTATCAAAGCATATGTTGCCATCATCATTTTCTGAACATTTACTTTCTATTTGGGCCCTTGGAATCCACTCCTCTTTTTTCCCCCCTTACCCCAGCCTCCCACTCTCATGAATAAATTATAAAGTATTCTTAATTAGCTAGCCAGTCATTTATTCTGAGATGACTCACGGTGAATTCAAGCAACCAATCTTTGTGTTAGCAGCCAAATGCCGAGCCATTTTGCACCATCCAGGACCTCTGTGGGTAAGAACTGCTACCACTAAGAGATGCAGTGTCTTTCTGAGCGTCATCTCCACAGATAATCTGTTGGGTGGGTGATGGGTTGAGTTAGGATCTGAAAAGCATGGTATTTGGCTGAATGAGTACTTCCGGAGCAAACAGCCCTGTTACTGCAGTTCAGTCCAAGCAGCATGACTGGTTCACACATGATAAGAAGTGAAACTAGACAGATCCCTGAGCTGGCTGACTTACCTAGCAGGGGCTGCTTCCAGTAACAGAACTAGATTGGAGTGAAGCAAAAGTTTTCCTTGCAAAATCTGAATGCAGATTTATGCTGGAAAGAACATACTCCAAAGGAATCAAAAGTTGATATTGAAACCCACTATATGATCATTTACTATGAATGAAATAGTTCTTTGTAGTTTATCCTGAGATAAATGTTTTAAAGAAACAAAATAAATGTATTTCAATTCATGTCCTTTATAGCTATGCCTTTTAGTTATAAAAGTCCCACCTTTTTGAACAAGAATGCCTCAAGAGTTGCAGGTATTTTCATAGTTAGTATTGATAGTATTCAAGTCATACATTTCACTTTGAGAACATAATAGGGAATTATATTTTTCTTGTGAGGTGGCTTTTTAAAAACCCTGATAGCTCATCCTAACAAATATTCCATCCAAAATATGTCACAAAATTTTCTTTTTCCTTTTTCAATTATTTGCTTATAGTCTAAAGTTTACCTTTCTATTTTTCGAAGAAGTATCATTAATATCCTATTCATATTCTGGATTCTTACACAAAATTTTTCTTAATGTGAAAAGAAAATTTTAAATTTGTTTCATCATTACCTATCCAATATTTAGCTATAAAACTGTATCTGAATGTTCACTCAAAAATAATTTAATTATAATTTGATTGTAATTGAGGTGTATCTTATGTCAGTGAATGCACAAGTCATAAGTGAAAAATCTAATGAATGATGACACTTGTATTACTACTCCACTATAATACTTCCAGCACCGTGCAATGTTCTTTGGTCTCTCCCTGTTAAACTGATCTTCCCACACACATAGAATCAACCACTCTTCTTATTCTTATCACCATATCACATTTAATTTCCTGCAAATCAAATGATAAAATCCGTAGTCTTTTGTAACTACATTTTTAATTCAACTTAGTATTTTGAGATGTAGTCATGTTGTTGCATATAGCTATTGTTATTTCCTTTTTAAAATTGCTAAGTAGAATCCCCTTGTATGGCTATTTCATGATTTAAAAAAAATTCAGTCTCTTATTGATAAGTAATTAGATTATTTCTGAGATTTAGCCCTATGAATATTCTTGTATAAAACATTTTGCAGACATAGTTTTATAGAACCATAGAATCATAAGGTAGGTGTACATCTAATTTTAATGACAGTTTTCCAAAGTGTGTTTCCATTTTACACACCCATGAACAGCGTACAAAAAATATTATGTGTTCCCTGTCTTCATCAATTATTGGTACTTCCAATCTATTTTTAGTTGTTCTAGCTGTAGAATTTATACATCAATTAAATATTTTATTTTAGTATATTATCCACCTTTGTACTCATTTGCATTATCTCAAACATCAAGTTAATACAAACAGGTTGTACCTAGAATGTGATTTTTATAAGTTTTGTTCAGTAATAAATGTTCTGATTATGTTCAAAACAATAGAATGACAAATTTAGGATTTGAGTACTACTAATTACATACCCTCCCAAAACACAAACAAATTCAACTCACTGCTGTGGAGGTGATGCTGACTCATAGTGATCCCGAAGGACAAGGTAGAACGGCCCCTGTGATTTTCTAAGATTGTAGCTCATATTTTAGGGCTTCAATACTATTTCTCGATTGTTTCTCTTCTAACCACAAAGAAACTCCAAATTCACTCAAAATGTAGAGAAAATTAAATTAGAATTTTGGTACATTTAACTGCTTCCATTGGGCGTTAGATATTCAACCTCTCTTACTTCTAGAACCTGCCTGATTGCATCAGCTTTCTCTCTTTCAGGTAATGCCACCAGCTCCCATTTTTCAACACATCATGAAGGTTCACTTCAAGTTCCTATCCCATGTGCTGTAGTGACTGTTGTCATCATCACCATTTTATCCATCGCTCTCATTGCCTTGATAGGTGAGTCATGAGTCTATTCACCGTCTCGCAGCTGGAATATGCATTCCCAATTGAATGAACAGTGATCGATTGTGTCTAAATAGTCAGAAAAATCGGCTCTACTCGGGATCCTCTCATCTACTAGACATGACTATTTTCCTAATCAATGCTAAATGCAACCCTATGTTTTTTCAATACTACTGAATTTTCCAGAGCATCTGTATGAATATTAAAATCATATATGATTTATACATTACTGTAGGGACAACTACATTTAAGCAGATGTTTAGGTCTAGAATGATGGGTATTTTAGATCCTAGGTAAATGAATATTTAATTAGAAAAACTGTGGACTTCACATCCATTGTTGTCAGGAAGAAAATATCGAAGCCATAGATTTACAAGGATCTGGGCAATCTTATCTTTTACTTAAAGTGTCACAAAATGGTAGAAGGGTAATTCATATATATCTATAAATTCTCAGAGACTTAATGATATGGTATCTAATGCATATGTCTCCACCAAGATACACTTTTGCCTTCAACAAACATGAAATTTTATAATTTGACAAAACACCACCAACCATTGACTTCTTTGCAAATTCTTCTCTCCTTCACTTTTCAATGTATTATTAAATCTAGAGCATTATGCAAGTCCTGTTATTCAGCACTACATTCAAACTTTATTTGGAATGTATAATTCAGTTTACCTTTTCTAGTTCAAAGACTATTTTCTGGAGTTTTCTATATTCCTGAAACTTTCCAAGAAAGACAACCTTACTATTGCGTCTCCTGTCCAATGACAATTAGATGCAATGGAAGACCACTAAGCTGAAAACCACCTTCCTTCTTATTCTTCAGCTCACCTTTGAATTTTTTTTTTCTTTCTTTTTTTTTTAACATTTTATTAGGGGCTCATACAACTGTTATCCCAATCCATACACACATCATTTGTGTAAAGCGCATTTGTACATCGTTTCTCAAAACATTTTCTCTCCGTTGAAACCCCCGACATTAGGTCCTCATTTTTCCCCTCCCTCCCCGCTCCCCCCTCCCGCATGAGCCCTTGATAGTTTATAAATGGGTATTTTGTCATATCTTGCCCTGTCCGACGTCTCCCTTCACCCACTTTTTGGTTGTCGGTCCCCCAGGGAGGAGGTCACACACAGTTCCATGTAATCGGTTCCCTCTTTCCTACTCATTCTCCTTTTACCCTCTCTGTTTTGCCACTCATACCACTGGTCCTATAGGGCTCATCCGTCCTGGATTCCCTGTATTTTCAGTTCCTATCTGTACCAGTGTACCTCCTCTGGTCTAGCCAGTCTTGCAAGATAGAATTGGAGTCATGGTAGTGGGAGCGGGGAGGAAACCTTTAGGAACTAGAGGAAGGTTGTATTTCTCATCATTGTTACATCGCACCCTGACTGGCTCATCTCCTCCCCGAGACCTCTCTGCAAGGGGATCTCCAGTGGCCTACTAATGGGCTTTGGATCTCCACTCTGCACTCCCCCCATCATTCACTATGGTAAGATTTTTTGTTCTGATGATGCCTTATACCTGATCCCTTCGACACCTCGTGGTTGCATAGGCTGGTGTGCTTCTTCCATGTGGGCTTTGTTGCTTCTGAGCTAGATGGCTGCTTGATTACCTTCAAGCCTTTAAGACCCCAGACACTATACTTTTTGATAGCCGGGCACCATCAGCTTTCTTCACCACATTTGCTTATGCACCCATTTGTCTTCAGTGATCCGTTTGACACCCCGTGATCACACAGGTTGATATGTTGTTCCATGTGGGCTTTGTTGCTTCTGAGCTAGATGGCCGCTTGTTTACCTTCAAGCTTCACCTTTGAATTTTATCCTTTATTTTATCTCCTAACACAACCCAGAATTCCCTGAACAAGTGTTGCATGCTGTAGGTATTTCTTTGGTTCCTTTGTTACAAACAAATTTTCCTGTTCACAGAGGGCCAGTACAATTGTCCAGGCCATTCTACTGCCTTGGTGCCATCAGACAGCCCAGCTTCTCCATGTTCGGCTGGTTGGATTGGATCCCAAAAGAAATGCTACCATCTTTCCACAAAAAGAAGCAACTGGACCATGGCCCAAGGCTATTGCTCTGAACATGGTGCTACTCTTGCTCTCCTTGATTCTGAAAAGGAGATGGTAAGATAATATTAGTTAAATTCAATTTTACAAAGTAATAGTATTTTAATTGGTAGAGTTGTGTGGTTTAGGGAAACCTTTCCTTCTAAGAAAATACCTTATCTCCTCGGTAGGAAATGTAAGTCACAGAAAGGCATATGATCAATCCAATGTCAAAATGAGAGTCCAATTTAATCTTTTAAATTTGTTTGAATTGCTTAACTTCAGAGACAAAAAAAGCCATGCATATCCTATATGGAAGTCATACGTGATCAGTTCAGTTTTGAAGTTTCTAATTGCAGCTTCTGAGAAATAAGTTTTATTTTTTATTTACCCTCAACGATTGTCTAACATATGCTTTCTTCAAGATCTTTCTAAAACAGTATATGAGTGGCCTGGAACACTGGATTGGGATGAATAATGAAACTGGTCAGACATGGAAGTGGTCCAATGGCAGAGAATTGAATAACCGGTATGTCTCCACAGTGCTCCTCACTTTCCCAGGCTGCCAGCTCACGAGAACCACTTTCTTTTTCTCCTTTTCTCCTTTCACAGCATGTAATGTTCCTCTCTCTGAGGAAACTGCTTTCCTCTTTCTGAGGATAGGTCTGACAGCCTCTTTTGTATGCTTACACTCTGGAATTTTTTAAGGAAGGCATAACATTATTGATTTCTTTTGCTTATATCCTCAGGAAACTTTACAATGAATGCTTCTAGTCATGTGTTCAGGAACCCTGGTGGCACAATGGTTAAGCACTCAGCTGCTGACAAAAAGAATGGCATTTCCATCCCATCAGCAGCTCTTTGGAGCCCTGCTAGCATGATGGGTTACATGGTGTGCTATTAGTCACTGTGCTAACAGTTCAAAAGCATCAGCCACTTCACCGAAGATAAGCCTTTCTACACTGATAAAGATGTACAGCCTCAGAAACCCACCGGGTCAATACTACTCTGTCCAATAGGGTCTCCATGAGTCAGAATTGACTCAGTGGCAATGAGGGGCTGCATGGAAAACATAACATGGTGACTTTGTCCCATAAAGATCATTGCCTAGGAAACCCTGTGGGCCATTCTACTCTGTCCTCTAGGGTCACCTCGTTTATCTCCATGGCCCGCCACAGGCAGATCAGAACTGCAGTGTGAGGAACAGGCTTACCATAGTTCGTTTGGAAATAATCCAGGTATAATTCCTATGATGAAAGAAAAAGAAAAAAGAGCATCATTTCTGATCTCTTGTCAATATTTTACTGAGGAAAAGAGTTGCGGGAAAAGAGTTTTTCTTAAATTTTTCCAGTTTCTATTTCCACAGCGAGACATAATAATATTTTAATGCCTAATTAGAAGTGTCTGTGAACATGAGAGAAAATTTCCTGCAGCATTAAATATATTCAATCTCTTTCCATTCCTAGTGAATTCTAAACTATAAATTTATAAATTTAAAACTACAAATTTTTTAATTTGTAGGACTTTTAAAGTTTGGTGTTAATCTTTGCCTTCTGACATTCAGAGTTGAAAAAAAGAGAAAGCTTTATAATGATTAAGGCAATATCAAAGAGATGATAATACAGGTTTCTAGAAAAGGAATTCTAAATATGTATCACATTCTAAACCTGTTTCATATCCATGAATGGGACCCTAAAATTGTATGAACAGGTAAAAAATATTGAATATTTCTTCATCATAGAAAGTATTTCTCAAAGGTTCTACAAACTTAAACAGCTAATGAAACAAATGGAATTCTTTATTCCTAGCTTTGGAAATTCTTTCCAGACGTTAGTACCATGAATTATTTTCTACTGTCTCTGCAGATGAATTTGCAACATTTTTTTTTGCTGATTATCTTGCCTCATAGATTTCCACTAAGCAGAAAAGCAGAGACCACCACCACCACCACCTTTCTTCTCATGTAAATCTACACAGAAATCATGAATGAAGTTCATAACTTATTGTTTGTTTAACAGGTCCAGCGAGATGGAGTCTGGAAATTGCCCATTTTTTAATACCACTGATGTCAGCAGCACAGCTTGTCAAAGGCGTTTACACTGGATATGTAGCAAACCTTCCCATCAATGAAGAAACACATCGCTTATCGACTTCCATGGATGCTGCTCTATGGGCTAAGGTTTTCCCAACAGATTCTATGGAGACATTTTTTTCCCTGAATTATTCTGAAAATCTTCTTCGAAGAAAGACTGTGGAGAAAATTGAGAAGCATTCCGGACAAACCTGAATTGTGGAATCCTCTTTCATGCTCTGGAAACCAAATAGGGTGACTGACAACTATGCCAAAGAACGAGAACAAGGAATCTTTTCAGATGCACTTTATTATTTTTTAAATTCAGAAATGTATGTTTTAAACTAGGTTTAATTTTATTATTTATTGTTGAGTGACTACCAACAGTGAGTGCCGGCCTTGCTTTTGCACTATAGGAAGGAGGAAGATGGTGGCGGTAGTGTTTGACCTGAGGGGCCGCTAACTACAAGGCCCACAGTTTGAAACCACCAGCTGCTCCACAAGAGAAACAATTGGCTTTCCACTCCCATAAAGAAATATTGTCTCATAAATCCAATGGGGTATTTGCGCCCAGGCCGATGGTCTTGCAATACGTTGATATCAACTAAAAGGCAGTGAGTTTGGTTCAAGAGTTGAAGTAAAAACAAAACAAATCACCTGGATATAAGCAGAAGGAATATTACTTGATAACATAGATATCGGTTAGAATGTATTTCTCATCAAGAGAACATTTTAAAGTGGGTAAATGCCTATTAAATTCAACTTTGAAATATTTCTCTCTTTGTAGAGAAGTTTGCTAAGTTACTTTGCAACGTTAGTTCTCCAAAGGAGTAATCATGTATTCATGTTTATGTTGGTTTGGGATGTTTTTTTCACTTCCTCATTGCAGACAGGTCCTTTTCAACGGAAATTTTCCTTTTTTCTGTATTCTTCTTTTTTCTACCCTTTAAAACTTTAAATACAGCATTTTCCCAAGAAAAGACAAATGAATATGATGACTATTTTTAAGCAAGATTAAAAAGTGTTGGGAAATGTACAATATATGATATGGCAAATCCCTATTAGGAAAAATTCTGTATTATTCAAACCGGTAAAAATATCAGTCATATCTGGTAATAAACCTGTGACTTCCCCAATCAATTCTATCATGTGCAATACTTCATATGAAATGATTTCTATGTGCAATAAATGTGTTTATTTGTACTTTTCTAAAGTAAAATTATAAGCTGCTTTTAGGTTTGTGAAAATAAAAGTAGAATCAGCAAAATGGTTTCCAAGAAGTGTTTATTCAAATACATTAATAATTATATCCTTTTGATCTCCCAACTCAAGATCTTTGCCCCTTACATCATACTGTTCTGTTATGTCTTCTCAAGCGCCCTTTAAATTCTTTCTGCTTAGCTCTTTGAGTTGATCGTTTCTAGATTTAGCTGTTTCTGGAGTATCTTCTGACATCCACTTTGGTCTTTTCTTTCTTTCCTGTCTTTTTCATGACCTTTTGCTTTCTTCATAGTTAACGTTCTTGGTGTCATCCCCCAACTCGTATGTTCTTCAGACATTACTGTGCAGTGTGTCAAATTTCTTGAGATCGTATCTAAATTCAGATCACATCTTACCTGAGTTTACTAGAGAAATAGAACCAGTGACACATACGCATACACAGAGAGATTTATGTCAAGATTATGACTCAAGCAGGCAAATCCAAATGCAAGCATGTTCCAAGCCCATGAGTCGGGTTTGAGACTAGATGGCTTCTCTTTACAAGTGTAGCTGTGAGGTCTGGTGAACCCAGCCTGGCAGGAAAACTAGAGGCGGGTGGCTACAGAGGCAAATGAACCCAAGATCGGCAGGGCAGATGGAAGGCAGCTGACAGCTTCTAGGATTGGCAGATTGGTAGGAACTATGGCTAGTCATTGGCTAAAGCTCAGAGGTTGCTGAGCAAGAAGCAGAATCCATAGCCAACAAAAACCAAGCAATCTTTTCCACAGGATCTACTTATTTTGTAACAGGTCATAGCCTAGATCAGCGGTTCTCAACCTGTCAGTCGCCACCCCTTTGGGGGTCGAACGACCCTTTCACAGGGGTCACCCGATTCATAACAGTAGCTAAATTACAGTTATGAAGTAGCAACAAAAATAGTTTTATGGTTGGGGGGTCACCACAACATGAGGAATGAATTAAAGGGTCACAGTATTAGGAAGGTTGAGAATCACTGGCCTAGAGGAGATTTTCTTTCAATTGCATCAGGTTTATGACTTCCCGCCCTACTCTTACAATTGATTGGGTATGCATAGCCCCATTACAGAGTTGACTACATTGCATTAGGTTATATCATGAGGGACTACTAGTTCATAGCTGTCAAATCATTGACAATGCTGCCCAAGGCAGTTGACACAAAACCTAACTATCACAGGCAAGATGTACTAAAGGTCATATTTTGGCATTTGTGGGCTTCTTTTAGTTTCTTCAGCTTCAACTTGAACTTCCATATAAGCAAGTGATGGTCTAGCTCAACCTTGTTTTGGCTAATGATCTTGAACATCTCCATAATCTCTTCCCCCAGAGATTGTCAATTTGATTCCTGTGTATTCATGTGGCAAGATCCACATATATAGTCATTGTGTATGTTGTTTTAAAAAGGGTATTTTCAATAAAGTCATTGGTATTGCAAAACTCTATCATGTGCTATTCAGCTTCCTTTCTTCACCTACGCCATCATTTAAACTAATGTTATTTCTTTGTTTCCAATCTTGCATTGCAATCCCAAGTAATTTTCAAAGCAATCTTTTTGCATGTTTGATCAATTTGAGACTGAAGTCATTGGTAGAACTTTGAATTTCTTTATCACTGGCTTTAGTGGTTCAAGATCTTAAAATGTTATTTTTGACAAAACTGAATATTCCTCTTGAATTTATCATTAATATCATAACAATCCATGTGATTGCCTGGTTTAAAATGGCTAATGGTTCATTATAGTTCACTTTTGCCTAGCTATCAATCTTTGTGTTCTATTTAATTTTGATGATCTTCAATTTTCCTAGGTTTATACTTCATATTCATACTTCATACATTCCACATTCCAATTATTAATGGATGTTTGCAGCTGTTTCCCCCGCTCATTTTGAATTATTTCCTACCCGTAGGTGAATGTCCCTAAAGCTTTTGTTGTTTTTCACATCATTAAGGTTGACTCTGCTTTGAGGAGGCAGCTCTTGCGCCGTGTATTCTGAATGCCTTCCAACCTAATGGACTCATATTCTGGCATTGTATCAGACAATGTTCCTCAACTATTCCTGTTTCTAATGACCAATTCCTCAGAAGTGGGCACTGCTTCCTGCTTCCTAGTCTGTTCTTGATCTGGAAGCTCTGCTTAAACCTGTTGACCATGGGTTACTCTATTGGTATTTGAAATGCCAATGGCAAAGCTTCCAGTATCACAGCAACATGCAAGTCACCACAGGATGACAAACTGACAGACGAGTGAGTGGTGGGTACAAATCATAGTCACAACAATATTTACCAAAGGGCTGTTTTAAAAAGGGAAAAATCAAAAGGTACTAATCGTCCAAAACTAAGATATAGTCAAATATATGATTTTAATTTTTAAAAAATCATTTTATTAGGGGCTCCTACAACTCTTTTTTTTTCTTTTTTAACATTTTATTAGGGGCTCATACAACTGTTATCCCAATCCATACACACATCAATTGTGTAAAGCGCATTTGTA